CAACAATGGTCGAGCAGGACCTTTGACTTATCTTCACGTAGATGGAACTGGTAAAAGAAAAGAGCCCGGGGTTCCTCCCAAGCCCATGGGACCCCTGAGGAACATATCCTCAAACGACCTCAAGAGTGAAAACAAATCAGTTTATCTGGTCCAATGGTATGTCCTTAAACACCCAAAAGGGAAGTTGTCGCGAGCCACGACTCTGTCCAGCAGAGCCGAGGAAAAATGACACAGACACCAAGGTGAGGTTCAAGCTTCTGTTTCTCTTTCTTCCTTTATTCTCTCTCATATTCTCTTCACTATGATGCTGTCTCTCATGATGCTGTCTCCTATGATGCTGTCTCTGTCTGCCTGTCTTTTGATGCTGTCTCTCACTCCTTTGATGCTGTCTCTGTCTTTCTTTTGATGCTGTCTCTCACTCCTTTGATGCTGTCTCTGTCTGTTTCATTGAGTCTAAATTTGGAGACACAGAGGTGGATAAATCATAGCTTTATTTGGTGCAAATGGGCTTTGAGGCTGTTAAGATTGCTTAGGAGGGTGAGGGAGTTGTACAGAGGTTTTTAAGTAAGCAGCTAGCTAAGGTCTACAGTTCTTGCTTAGTTGGAAGAAGTGAAAGGTTAGGTAAAAGCACATAGCGCATATTTCATAGGTAACAGGCTTTGTATCTACCCCATCCCCATGGACGGCCCAGTCTTTACATGCCCTTGTTGACTGACACTTCTCTGGATTCTATGTTTCAGCTACTGTGAATAATGCTGCAATGCCCACAAGGTACAGATGTCTCTTCCACACACTCACTTTGCTTTCTTTGGAGAGATACTTGAGATGGATTACTGGATCACAGGTACATTAAGAAATTACTTTTATGGTCACTGGGACTAAATATATGAAAGGAACAAGAGAGAAAATATTTATTCTAGCTCATGATTTCAGAGGGTTCAATCTGGGCTTGGCTCCCCAGACAATGCTTCACTTTTTGGTTGACGTGAAGCATTGTGTGAACAGAGGCCCAGGGACTCAGTATAAACCCAACACCCCGCCCTCCATGACCTATTTCCTCCAGCTAGATCCACCTACAAAGTTTCTGTAGCTTCCCCAAAAAGTACCACCCGCTGGAGCTCATGTTTGAAATAGGATCCTGTAGGGGACATTTCATAGTCTAATTGTTCATGTTTAAGCATAACATTGGGGGGAGGGTGGAGGCATGGCTCAGTGGTTAAGAGCACTAGCTGCTCTTGTAGAGGCTGCTCTTACAGAGGACCTGGGTTCAATTCCCAGAACCCACATGGTGGCTAACAACTCTCTGTAACTTCAGTTTCAAAGGAATCTGATGCCCTCTTCTAACCTCGTGGGCATTGCATAACATGGGTGCACTTACCTACATGCAAGCAATACACACACACACACACACACACACACACACACACACACACATAAAATAAAAATAATAAAATAAAAAAAATTTAAAAAAAATTTTGGCTTAGAATAAAGACAGAATTTCCAACAATTTCTGAAATGGCCCTAAACATACTTCTGCTATTTCAAAACTACAAGTTCCTGCAAAGCAGCATTGTCAGCCTTGCCAACCATAAAATCTAAACACTGATCAACTCTGAAAAACACCAAAATGCTATGTAGCCCTATATGATACTTTATCTTTTTTTTATCATATCAAATATTCAGCTGAGTTTAATTCTTTAGTAAAAATAGCAAGCATGTCCATCTTTAGTGTGCAAATGTATGCTCATCTTTAACAAATGGTAAAAATATAGTATAAAAAAGAATTTTTATTGTTTTTTATGAATTTTATTTATTTGTATTTTAATATGTGTATTTTGCCTGCATGTAAGTGCACCCTTGTAAAGCAATGCTCATGGAGGCAAAAGAGGGCATTGATCCCCTGGAGCTAGAGTTATAGATAATCCCAAGACCATGTGGGTGCTGGGAACCAAACCCAGGTCCTCTGAAGGAGCAGCCAGTGCCTTAATCACTGAGTCATCTCTCCAGTGCCCAAAAAATTGTTTTAAAAATAAATTTATTGGCTGGGTGTGGTGGCGAACACCTTTAAACCCAGCACTTGGGAGGCAGAAGCAGGCAGATTTCTGTCTACATAACAAGTTCCAGTCTAGCTAAAACTACATAGCAGGACTTTGTCAAAAACCAAAAAAAAAAAAAATTCTTTATGATTTATTATCAGTAAATGTTTGGTTTGTGTACTTTTGTACATGAGATTTAAGTTAGAGGCCAATCAGGCCAAGGCTGCAGCAACTTCCCCCGTCTCCCTAGCCTCACAGCTACCTGCAAGCCCCTATGGAGAGCCTGTCTGTTAAAGCTGTAATCCCCTAAAGAACTCTCCAGGCACTTGGAAGGAAAGAGATGCTAAATCCCAGACCAGATACTGCTCAAGTCATTCCTATCTGGAGCCTCCTTTATCTCCATCCTCATTGTTGATTCTGGGATCCCTACTGCTACAATGAGAAATGCCTTATCTGTCTATGAGTCTTTAAACAGACTCAGCAGGTACCTTCCTTACCCAAGGAAGTTCAGATTGCAGGTTGCCAGACTTTAGGACATCAGAGTGTGACTGGTGTAATGGGTATAGCTTACCCTGATGTACCCAAGGCCCTGCAATTCCTTCATCTCCCACTACCACCCAGGAATCAGAGACAGCCTGGCTGCAGGCTAGGGCTATTACACCTCCTCTCTTTACTCTGAGACCTATAAAAAGGGGCCCCACTCAGCCCATGGGCCTGAACTCTCCTCAGAGTTCCCAATATGCTGGCAACTATCTGTCCATGATGTTAACAACTCTTGTAATAAACTTCTTATCCAAAAGAAAGTCCTCCTCAGTGTTACCTTGAACCCCAAACCAAGTTTTCACACAGGTAAAAACTTCTTGGGCAAAAAGGGTCATGAGTTGAAAAAGTTCCAGAAGCCTTATTTTAAGCCATGACTCCTGGTGGCAGCGATGCTGTGCTCAAGCTGGGCTGCCCAATGCCATCCTGGCATTGGCCATTTACCATCAAAGCACATACAGGGCCAGGACAGAAGCTACCCAAACAACCAGCATCTCCAGCTCCAAAAAGGGAGCCTCAACCAAATACCTGCTTTCGCCAGAGCAAGAAATAAATACAATTTAAAATCCTATATACCCAAAAGAGGTGGGAAAAACCTCAGCCAAGCAAAGAGCTCTTAGAGATAACTCAGGAGACACGAGAACCCTAAATCTGTCTTTTGCTCTACCCAGAGCTGGCATTCTCAGACTGTGCCCCCAGGCTAGGAATGTAAACATACACAAGAAGACTTTCACCAAACAGGAATTCATTGTCCAGGAACCCAAGTGTATCTCCCAGGCCCCCAGGAGGGCTGGCACTGCACCACTAGCCTGCATGCCATACAAACCTTGGATATGAAGATGGTGTTGATTTTGGGGTTGTGCTTGAAGTTCTGGAGAATCTGCATCCTTTCTCCCTGGGATGTAGGTCCATAAATATAGGGTCTAGAGAAGGACAAAGCAGTTTTAGAAATGACACAGAATCACACAGGCAATTTAGAAGCTGCTTCTGCTATAAAGCATTAACTCCTTGCCCTGGCCCTAAGTAACAGCTAGGTGAGAGCCTGGCATCTCTGTCTACACTTTGTGTCTGCCTCCCTTCCTTAGGGTCAGACTCCTGCTTGACTCTGCACAGGCATGAAGTCATTAAGGACTTCACTCCCCATTAAGGCTGAAGGTACAAAGAGTTCCTGTCCTAAACTGGTAGTCACCTGGATTCAAGAAGAGCAAAACCTCCCAGACATGACAGACTACCCCCAACAGGAGGACAAATGCATAGAATTGAAAGGCTAGTTACACCTGGGCTGGTCAGCCTATAGGAATGAGATATGACAGCTATTAACAACTTAGTCTAACTTGTAGGACCCAAGCTGTGCCAGTGATTAACAGAACCACACCTTGACCAAGACTACTTAATTATACATACTTTCTCCTTGCTCCATTTCTTAAAGCCTAGGCTTTTAGGGTAATGAATTTGGGGTCACTAGACCCTTTTATTTTTTCCTTCTTGCCGATGCACAGTGATTAAATAAACGCATCTCTACTTTTCACCATTCCTCACCTACTGGGGCTACTAGAGTCTAAGTTTTCACCCTAAAAGTCCATTTGCCAAAGCACTAGAGGAAGCCCTGCCATGCCAGGACATCACAAGATCCATGACAATGAATGTCACAGGCCTCTTCTCTGATTTCCCTAACACCCTCAGTACTGATTAGCTTTTGTCAACTTTACACAAACTAGAGACACTTGGAGAAAGGAAACCTCAATTAAGGAATTTCCTCCATTGGACTGTCCATGCCTGTGAAGAAGTTTCTTAATTGCTAATTGATGTAGACGATCCCAACCCACTGTGGGTGACACCATCCATAGGCAAGTGGGCCTGGGCTGTTTAAGAAAATTGATCAGCACTTGGGAGGCAGAAGCAGGTAGATCTCTGTGAGTTCAAGGCCAGCCTGGTCCACATAGTGAGTTCCAGGCCAGCTGGGGCTACAGGGAGACCCTAGATCAAAAAAAGAAAGAAAGAAAACTAACTGAGGGGCTAGAGAGATAGCTCAGTGGTTAAGAGCACTGACTGTTCTTGCAGAGGACCCAGTTTGATTCCCAGCACCCACATGGTGGTTAACAACCGTCTGTAACTCCAGTTCCAGGGAATCTAACACCCTCTTCTGACCTCTGTGAGCATTCTACAACACAGATGCACTTACATACATGCAGGCAATATACTCATACACATAAAAGATAAATAAAAATAATTAACAAAAAAAGAAAGAAAGAAAAGTAGTGAGCAAGCCAATAAGCAGTGTTCCTGTACGGTCTCTGCTTCAGCTCTTGCTCCAGGTTCTGCTTTGAGCTCCTACTGTGGCTTCCCTCGACGATGGACTATAATTTGTAAGTTCAAACAGAACCTTTCCTTCAAGTTGCTTTTGGTCATGGTGTTTACCACAGCAACAAGCAGCAAACAAAACACCCTCCAACCTTTCACCTCGGATTCTTGGTCCAGGCTCACCACTGTCATCACCATTCCTTCTTTTGTTTTTTTTCTTTGGTTTTTTCTTTTTTTTGGGGGGGGGGTTTGGCTTCATGTGTACCCCAGACTGGCCTGGAAAACATCATGTAGCCAGGCTGGCCTCACAACTCACCATTCTCCTGCCTCTCTCTCCTGGATGCTGGGATTACAATGAACATCCCAAGTCCTGGCACTTAACTATGTCTTCAACCTCTGCCACTTTAGGCTGAGTCTACAGAAAGCAGACTCCTTGTCACAAAGCCTAGTGAGGACCAACCAAGAAAACACTGCTGTGTCTTAATACAGCCAAAGACACAAGCATCCTTCCTTCAAGAAATGGGCAGAATAAAAGAAATGGCCCCGATCCCTTCTCACTGCTCTCCATTTAACAATCAAAGTCTTCTCTTCTGCTTTCAGGCTCTCCACCAGAGGCCACAGGTCAAGCTGACAACCTTGCTGGCCATTTCTCCATGTACATGGGAGCCATTCCCTTCCCTTTTGTCTTGAAACACTGGTGGCCAGTCTCTGCAGCTTCCTAGTGAACCTAAAAATGATGGTAACAATAATGATAAGGACAGATACCAGGCATTCCAGGCACACCTATGCCAAGCACTGACTGAGCTGACTAAAAAATTAAATAAATCCATCCATCTCCACCAATGTTGCTCAAAAGTGTAAAACGGAGGCTGCATGCCCCCAATTTAGACACAGCAAATAAAGACTAGGAGCCCAAGAACAGCTGTCTCATAGCCTCACCCACAGCACCCAGGTCGTGTCCACTTAGGGTTCTTGCCATTTCATGTAGCACTACCCAATGCTGTACACAGGGTCACAGGTATGCCTTCAAGCAAATCTCACACGTGTCGGGAGGCTGGGCAGGGTCTGGATCAGCACATCTAGACTCGTGGCCTCTGGGCAACTCAGCTATGATGCCTCTCCTGGCACCAAAAGAATCCAGGGCACTACACAATCCCATCATTTTCTATATATCATGCTGGGAAAATGTTGGGAAGTCACAGTCATCAAAGCAGCCTTTCAATACTCCAGCTTTTAGGGGTTCCTACTCACACAACTGCAGGCCCTTGGTCTGAGGCTTATCCCACATGGGAAATGGAAAAGAAGGGTAGCAGTCCTCCATGAAAAGAACAGAACACTTGGCAAACACATAAGAAACCAGACACAATCATCCTCTGCAATAACATGACCAAAAGGCAAAAGGAGGTTCAGAGGCCACACAGCTTCAGTCTGCCAAACTCCTTCTGCCTACTACCCACACTGTACACAATCCACTCCAGTCTCCTATAATGTACTACAGTGACACTCATTCCTTTACTCTGAAGATAGGAAGGAGGAACTTGGAAACTTCCCACCATACACCAGTGCTAAGAATAATTATTTCAAAAGCAAGAAAGCAAAGGATGTTGGGAAGAAGAGTTCTAGAGGGAGTGGGAGGAGGGATAAGAAAGAGGAATTAGAGGGTAAATGTGATCAGATTATATACATGTATGAAAATGTCAAAGAATAACTTTTAAAATATTAAAAAAACAGGTGTGGTGGCACACGCCTTTAATCCCAGCACTCGGGAGGCAGAGGCAGGCGGATCTCTGTGAGTTCAAGGCCAGCCTGGTCTACACAGTGAGTTCCACGACAGCTGGGGCTACAGGGAGACCCTGTCTCAAAAAGACCAAAAACAAAGCCCCAACAACAACAAAAAAACCCACTATCTACATTTAAGGGCCAGAGGGTACAAACCAGAGTCATAAGCAAAAGTTGAAAGATCCGTTACACAAGTCACAGTTCACTGACCTTCCCTGTGCCAGGCTGGCTCAGTTTGACAGCTCCAGGCAAATTAACATCCCTGCACAAGCAGATGCTCAGGAGGCTCAGCAAAGAACAAGCCTCTGGTGTTTAAAATGTAAGTAGGTGTGGGGGCTGGAGAGATGGCTCAGTGGTTAAGAGTATTGGCAATTCTTACAGAGGATCCAGGTTCAGCTCCCAGCACCTACATGACAGTTAATAATCATCTATAATTCCAGTTCCAAGAGATCCAATGCCCTCTTCTGGCCTCCACGGACACTACATGCACATGGTGCACTTACATTCATGCAGGCAAAACACTCATACATATAAAATAAAAATACATAAAAATAAATAGACAAAATGCAGGTGCTTGGGGTAGCGACCTGCAGAGGTTCCAAGAAGAATCTGGATGAAGCACTACAGTGGAGAGAAACAGGGAGGAAAATGGCTATTAACATGACACAGTGAACACATGTACTATCTCTTGACCTTACTTGAACCAACAATGATGGGACAGCAAGGAGTACTAAACTACAAACAGAACAGAAGAAATAACAGCAGGTAGAAGAAGTGGAAAGCATTTCAGAATTCCAAGGCAGTAATTACAATATAGACTAGAAAAAGCAGAAGCCTGGTCTGTAAGCCACAAAGTCCACCAAGTTCCCTAAACTTTTTTCTACAGAAAACTGAGAGGCTTGGAACAAGTTCCCTGTTACACTGAAAGTGGGGCAGTGGCAGAAGGGCAGATAGCAGGCCCATCAGTGTGCATGTGAACGAAGAACCCTATCCCTACAGCAGGCATTGTCCCCCCACCTGGAGCCTTCTGTCCCAGGATGCAAACAAAGAAAATCTGCATCTGGGCCACCTGCAAAGGTGAGGCTGAGTGAAACATAAAGGGAGATACTACTAGGCAAGACCCCACAACCTCTGCCCGTCACTGCCACTTGCTATAAGCCAAATAAACCCTTTCCTCCCTAAGTTGGTTTTGGTCAGTGTTTTTATCACAGCAATAGAAAGTAAGTAGAACAAATTTCAAAACTTGTACTATCAACATATTGGGAGGACGGTGGTAAAGAACAAAGGAGTGGAGAGTGGTATATGTAAGTTAATCCCCACCTCCCATAGTAGGAAATTAATAAGCAATTTCACAATGACAATCCAGAAATTGTAACAAAAGCTATTAGCTAAAAATAAGAGAGTAAGCAAAAGAGTTCAAAATGCTCGTTTCCAGGAAATAGGTAGGCAAACAGGTACAAGGAATTGCTGTCCACAATAATCAAAATAATTTTCATAAAAGGAAGATCTTTCCTAAATTTAAAAAGCATATAATTTTTAGACATTTGAGAAATTAAATCTTTCTATACTTCTGTTTTCCCGTCTATAAAATGAGGGTGCTCCTGCCTCAAATGGCTACGGTTAAGAAGTGAACAAAACATACCTAGAGCATACAGAAGAGAAACTCATCTATGCTCATCTTCCCCACCCACCAGAGGATTCTCCCTTCTCTAACACAGCTCCTGCAGCCCCAAGTTGCCGTGGAAACACAGCCCTCTTCTTGCTTACTTGGCTGGTAGCTGACCATAGCCAAGTTTTAATTATGGTAGGGTGGGGCTGTGGGTTGGTGAGGGTGCTGGGTGAGCAGTCTCTGAGAGGTTCTATCTAGCTGCTGACTGCTTCAGGTTCATAAGTCTGAAAAGTCCTTCAGGTTCACGAGTCTGAACACTTGCTCCCCAGCTGGTGATGCAGTTTGGGAGGCTGTGGAACCTTTAGGAGGTGTGGCTGAGCTGGCAACAAGGATACTAGGGGTGAGCCTCTGAGGGCTACAATTTCTCCCTCCAGTTCCAGTCTGGCTCTCTCTTTTTGCTGCTGCCATGTGACCAAATCTGCAAGCTGCCACTGCCATGAACCAAACTACTTCAGCTACCAAGCCTCATACACCATGACGGATGACATCCCCTGAACAGCCTTTCCTCCTTTAAGTTGTTTCTGCCAGGTGTTCGGTCACACTGATGAGAAAAGAAGCACAGCCAGCTACCTTGCCCTCCTAGCCCCTGGACCATGAAGTCTAGCCTCAATCTCACCCAAGTTCTCACTCAACCTGAAACCCTAGATGGTAACACTCATCCACTTCAGGAGTCCAGTTTAGGATGGTACCCCATCCCGCTCAGCACTGCTTTCTGGGTTCAAAACCAGGCTCCCCTTCCTAATCTTCTACCCTCTGATTCTGATTACCTGCTTTTCTGACTTGCCTGGTTACAGAGACCAGGACACAGAACGTTTTAAACCTTTAGACCCCAAGAAGTTCTACAGAGTTCCAAGAAGGAAACAGGCACTTTCTGTACTCTCCATGGAAGGTGATCTGGAGGCAACTCCAAATTTTCAACTCTTACTTGTTCAGGCGAATGGCATATTCCTTCAAGGCAAACACATTATCAGCAAAGACAATAATTTTGTCATTCCTCCTTTCATGAAACTTGATCAGAAACTGGCAAGCCCTGAACTTATTGGGGTTCATGGTGTACAACAAGATTCTTTTCTTTGTTTTGATTGCCACGTATTCCCGGTAGAACTCAGGAGACATCGGACACCAAACCTAGGATGTAGTAAGAAAAAGGGGTTATTTTGAAAAGTGAAACATCACATTAGTAAAAACTTTGAGGCTCTTTCATTTAGTAGAATTAGCTTTTTAAAAAAAAACCCACAAAACTCTAGGGCTGGAGAGATGGCTCGGAGGATAGAGGAGCCTACGCACAGGCCTGGTGACCTGAATTAGAGCCCAGGATTCCACAAAGTAGCAAGAGAGAATCAACTCTTGAGAATTGTCCTTTGACCTTCACGTGCATACTGTACTCACATACACATAATAAATAAATAAATAAATAAATAGTAAGTAAATATTTTTAAAAATTAAACAAAACCAATGGTAGGTGAATTTTATCGCAATGCAGTATTCTCCATTATCCATGGCTTCGGTAACATGGTCAACTATGATCTGAAAATAGTAAATGGAAAATCCCAGAGATAAACAATTCATAAAATTTAACCTGTACAGTGTTCTAAGTAGCAAAATAAAAAGCCCTATGCTGACCCACTGCACTGTGCCTGGGCTGTCAAGCATCTCTTGCACTGTACACACTTCCTTCCCATTAATCACTAGCTTCATTACCAAACTCATTGGCCGAGTATTGCAGTGCTTGTGTTTAAGTGACCTTATTTTACTTATTGACAGCCTCAAAATATAAGCAGAGAGATGCTGGCAATTTAAATATGCCAAGAGAAGCCATAAAGTGTTTCCTTTACGTGAAAAGGTGAAAATTCTTGACTTACTAGAAAGAAAAATCCCGTGCTAAGGTTGCTAAGATCCATGTCAAGAACAACTGTTCTATCTGTGAAATTGTGAAAGAGGAAAAAGAAACTCAAGCTGGTTTTGCTGTCACACCTCATAGTACAAAAGTTATGATCATAGTGCATGACAAGTGCTAAGTTAAGGTGCAAATGGAATTAAGTACAAGATTCAGGCTACCCAAGGTGTCTGACATACAATAGAGGTCTTAGAAGGAATTTCCCATGGATAAGAGGAAAGTACTGTTCAACTAGAAATGAAATCTAAGACCTACTGCTGAACCAAACATTCACTTAACAAAGATTTTTAAGTAGACTCATGGTTGAGGGAGCCTCAATTGGGGAAGTGCCTCCATTGAACTGGCCTGTGGCCATGTCTGTGAGGCACCCTCTTGATTGTTGTTTGATATGGGAGGGTACCTTGGGCAGGTGGGCCTATGTTGTGTAAGAAAGCAGGCTGAGCAGGGGCCAGGGGAGCAAGCCAGTAAGCAGCATTCCTCCATGGCCTGTGCTCCAGCTCCTGCTTCCAGGTTCCTGCCCTGAGTTCCTACCTTGGACTCCCTAATGAACTGTGACCCAGGAGATGTAAACTAAATAAACTCTTTCCTCCCCAGGTTGGTAGTGGTCAGAGTGTTTTGTCACAGCAATGAAGAAACAAACCAGGACAGTAGTGTTCAACTACAAATCAAATCTAAGACCTACTGCTGAACCAAACATTCACCTTAACCAAGATTTTTAAGTAGAATCATTGTTGGGGCATTATCTTCCTGATCTGCCAGAGAGGGAAACCAGCAGTACCTCCACTTAGATCATGCTTCCATACGTATTACTGCTACTGAAATTCTCTCTTCCTGAAGGCCAGTAGCACATCAGATTCTGTGAGCTGAGTGCAACCCTCTGCTGCTAGGCTACATGCAACACTGTGGTGTCAGGGGCTTTCATCCCTTCTTGTACCCTAAACCCCAATTCTCACCCACAAAACTCCAGACTGGCAAGTCCAGAGGCTGGAAAACAAACAAACCCAAAACCAAGATGCATGTGCACACATATGTATGCAACTGCATATGCATGTATCTGCACATGTATAAACACTAGCACATGAAAATCAAATTCAGAGGTATGACAGGATAATGAAATGGAAGACAACCTATATATTTATTATAAAAATAACACAAAGCACCAGTAAATGGAAGGAATTAGTGATTCAAGAAATTTCACAGAGAAGCCTCTAAAGATCAGACTGATGACCACTATGACCGTGATACCTCCCCAGAAGTCATGAAGGATCTCTAACTCAGGCACAAAGAGTGTGAACAAGCCAGGCTAACAACCCCCTGGTTAGTAACAATCACCTGATCTTCCTTAATCCTCTAGCCCTGTTTTGAGTGCTTCCCCACCCACACTTAACATGTAAATGATGACATAAAATAAGACTTGTGCATCTTAAAGACACTTAAGGCCTAAAGTAGCAGCACAACACAATGCTTGTGGAACACTGACCTCCCTAGGTATGAATCCCAGTCAGCCACTAATCAGTGTGACTTTTGGTAAATGACTAACTTCTCTGTATGCCTTGGTCTCCTTTACAGGACTACAATGCTAACAAGGTCTGAAGTGGCATAAGGTGATGGCAAGTTGAGCCCTTCAGTATAGATACCCAAAGAAACTCTTCTAAAGCCTGTCATATTCATCCTCTTCTGTTAGGTGCTTTGCCTTCAATGCCACGTTGTCTCTGTATGAGGGCCTCTACCAGAGACCAAGAAGATACACAGCCTCAAATCTTATCAAATGGATCTCAGGGTAATGGGGGGATGGGGGGGGAGTGTCTTTCCTGATAACTCATTTTAAAACCTTATTCCAAATTTACTCCAAATTTACCCTGAATATCTCCAGAAACACATACATGCACACAGGCATACAGAGACATGCACTGAGTTCCTCATCACAGCCTTGTTTTTATAATTGCACAATACTGAACACCTAAAATGCAAACACAAGAAAGGCTGAATAAGCTATGGGAAAGCCACACAATGGCATACCCTATAGTTGTAAGAGTGAGGAAGACTTCGATGAGTTTAGCAACTCAAAATGTCTGTCAACATAAAAGTTTTTATTGCTATGTAGTATTCAATTATATATAAAATTGGGGTACATTTTATCAAGGAGTTCTAAACAGTGATTCAAAGAAATGAACTACATGGATGATCAAAAGAACAAGGGCTGGCGAGATGGCTTTGTGGGTAGGGATGCTAGCTGCCAAGCATGACAACCTTCGATTCCCTGGATACACATGGTAGAGGGAGAAGGCCAACTCTCGCGGGTTGAACCCTGCCCTCCAAACTGGCACCATGGTAGCATAGGCACACTCACAGACAGACAGACAGACAGACAGACACACACACACACACACACACACATACACATACACACACACAAGTAAGTAAATGTTAGGAAAAAAGATACTGCATTATAAGAGGGAAAAAAGCCACTGAAAACAGGAAAATCCTAAAGAAACAAATGTAACCTGATTCCATTTACACAAATTTTCTGTGACACTGGGCAAACATGTCCAGAGAAACAGTCACAGGATATAAAATAAAATAGAAAAGCAAGAGAATGACAGGTAAATACACATCCATGACAGTAGCCACCCTGCCTGGCAGGAGAAGCAGGGAGCTGAGCAGCGGGGCTCCAAGCGTTGCCAGCACTGCACTTGGGAGGGACTGATGACATGGCTGAAGGGGAGGACTGCTTTCAAATCAGCAATTATCTACACACAAGCTCCTTATGCTTATGTTTATCAGATATCTCTCCCTGACCTTTCAGAGACCACCCCCGTCTAGCTATTGAGTGACAGTCATTTTAAAGTGCTAAAAAGGATGCTTCTGTTATTTCTTTAAAGTAGACTCACCTTTAATTGTGGATTTTTAACATACACCTGTATTCACTAGAGAACAATATTGGAAAAATGTGCTCTCAGAAATGGAACAATCAAGTTTGGTCCATCTTCTTGGGATTTTGACAATGGGATGAGCCTGAATGACTGCCTCTAGAGATCCCTCAGGATGAATGTGGGGAGGGAAGCCCCAGGAGCACACTCACAGGAGGAGCACGGTATGAACTGTGCAGTGAATGGTGTGGCCTGCACTGGCATGCTGACTTCACCAATAGAGACCAAGGGACAGAGACATAGAATCTCAGTGCACCAGCTGCAAGGTGTGGTTCATCTCCCAAGGTGACTAGTTAACATGGGTCCTGACCTGTTTCTTTGCCTGCCCGTGATAACTGATCAGCCCTCTTCCCCTCCCATGGGAGAAGTCCCTCCTTCACACACCACCCCTAGGGCCCAGCTACCTCAGCACACTGGACTTTGGCGATGTACCCATTGTTCTGCAACTCCATCCAGTTGGCTTCGTAGAGCTTAGGCCCAATCAGGAAATTTAAGTCGACAATTTTGTCATCTTCCCGGACAAGGGTTGCAGTCAAACCCAACTTGCAGTGAGCCTGCACGATGGTCAGCACCCGTCGGAACATCTTGGCTGGGGGAATGATGGAAGCATTCAAAGGGTCACTCTAAATTGGAAGGGTACCATACACAGTGTTGCAACTTGGCACAGGCCTGTGGCACCATATGTGCCAACTCTAGAATTAGGGACTACAGAAGTCTCGTTCCAGATAAGAACAAAGCAAAAAATATTTCACCATCACTTTTAGACTTGTTTAAAAGACTGATAAAGCCCAGCCACCACTCTGCCTATGCACCTTCCTCACCTTACAAAACTCCCCTCTTCCTGTACTTCCCACTGTGTCTCCAATGCCAAGCACAATGCCTAAACTTAGAAGATGCTCAATCAATAAATACTTGTTAAAATATTAAAACTAACAAAGCACCTAGCACACGGGAATCAGTTAATGCTTGCATGTGCTGTAATACAAATTTTTTTGAGATGAGGGCTCATGTAGCCCAGGCTAGCCCTGAACTCTCTATGTAGCCAAAGATGGCCTTTAACTCCTTATCTCTTGCCTCCACGTCCTAGTTTGTTTCTTCATTGCTGTGACCAAACACTCTGACCACTACCAACTTGGGGAGGAAAGGGTTTATTCAGCTTACATCTCCCAGGTCACAGTTCATCATGGAGCCCAAGGTAGGAACTCAGGGCAGGAACCTGGAGGCAGGAGCTGGAGCACAGGCCATGGAGGAACACTGCTTACTGGCTTGCTCCCCTGGCCCCTCCTCAGCCTGCTTTCTTATGCAACACAGGCCCACCAACCCAGGGATGGCACCATCCACAGAAGGCTGGGCCCTTCCACATCACTCAACAGTCAAGAAGGTGCCCCATGGACATGGCCATAGGCCAGTCCAATGAAGGCAATTCCCCAATTGAGGCTCCCTCAACCCAGGTGTGTCAAGTTGACACCAAAGCTGTCCAGCACACCCCATCTGGGATTATAGGTGTACCATCACACCCAGTATATGTGATACTGGAGATTGCACCCAGGGCTTCATGTTAGGCAGGCTTCTACCAACTGAGCTACATCGCCAGCATATTATGATACAAATGTCTTATCAATCAAATGACCTAACAGGGCTCTTTTAAAAGATCTGTATGGGGGCTGGAGAGATGGCTCAGTGTTTAATAGTGTATACTGCTTTGGCAGAGAACCTGAGTTTGGTTCCCAGCACCCAGTCAGGCAGCTCACAACTGCCTATAACTACAGCTCCAAGGGAATCCAACATGCTCTTCTTCTGGCCTCCGTAGGTACTGCACTCATGTGCACAAATACACACACAAATATTAAAGATAATAAAAATAAATCTTAAAAAAATAATAAAAGAATACAACTATCTTTATCTTTTGAGACCTCAAAGATGTAAGACCCTCTCTGGTCCAATGTGGTAAATGTTGGATGGTCAGAAAACTTACTCTGCCCTTGGTCTTAGCCAAAAGGCTCAGAAGCAGTAAGAAACTTACTCTTTTTTAAAAAAACTATTTTATTTATTATTTTTATGTGTTTGCATGTATTGCCTGCATGTAGGTAAGCACACCCATGTCATGCAATGACAAAGGACAGAAGAAGGCTGTCGGATCCCCTGGAACTGGAGTTATGGACAGTTTTTAGCTGCCATGTGGGTACTGGGATTCAAACCCAGGTCTTCTGCAAGAACAGCCAGTGTTCTTAACCACTGAGTCATCTCTCCAGTCCCAGAAACTTATTCTTTATTGAGTATCAATTCTCAGGCTGGTGAGTATTACTAGGCAATAGAGCTTATGAAATGTTATTAGTCCATCCTCTGTTTTGATAACAAAATTCCTGAGGTTAGGTAGATTTAAAGTTAAGATCAGGTGGCCCAACCCATTTGGACTCTGTTGAAGGACTCAGGTGGATGGCAGTCACAATGGCTAGCAGGAGCATGTGCAAAAGGGATCCCATGGCAGGATAGGAAGTGAGAGGAATTCAGGAGCCAGGCTTGCTCTTTTATAACAACTTGCTCTTGCATGCTCTAACTGATGTCCCAGGAGAATTGCATTAATACCATCAGAGGGTGATGCCCATGACAAATCACTTTCTACTAGGCCCCAACCATTACAGGTCCCACTGTCTCTCAAAATTGTTCTAACACATGAACCCTGGGGGGCATTCTCAAATCCATTCAAACCACACAGTACAAAGCTTGAACTCAAAATCTTGGTTTCACTTTCTACCCAAAGACAAGTGAACAAGCCTAGTAAACAAGACCAGAGACAGTGACCAAGCATAAACTACATTATCTTTATCACCAGACCCTAGGTTCCAAGACTGTGCTGACACTCTCTGAACCTGAGATTTCAGTTAAGAATCTCAACATATATTAAGTACACTCTCAAGAAGAAAGCCTCAACCCTCTCAGCCTTCACACCAGGTCTCCAAAGAAACTACCAGAGTAATTCCAAACTCATTTGTAAGACATGACTTTCTATACCTACAATTTCTTTTTAAAAAAATACTTTATGTGTGTGAGTATATTGCCTACATGTATGTAAGTGCACCCATGTTTTGCAATGCCTGTGGAAGTCAGAAGAAGGCATTAGATCCCCTGGAACAGTTATTAGCAGCCATGTGGGTGCTGGGAATTGAATTCGGGTCCTCTGCAAAAGCAGTCAGTGCTCTTTACCACTAAGCAATCTCTCCAGCCCCAATACACCATCAATTTCAATCCTGGCAACTTAATACCCATACTCTTTTTTGTTTAAGTTAACTTCTAAATTATCACACAATAAAAGTAACTCTGGAAGTGGCAGTGGTATTAGTTCTATGAATTTTAACACATGTATATATTTGTGTATCCAACACCAAAATCAGACTAATCCATCATGCCCAAACTGCCTTTTGCTCTTCTTTACAGTGTCCTCCTCAAATCCAATTCCAACACACTGACCTGTTCATGAGCATGTTGATAGCCTTTTGAGAATCTCATGTAAATGTAACCACACACTACACAAACTTTCAGCATGGGCTTCTTTCAGTACCATGCCCCTGAGACTCACCCAAGCTATTACACACAAGTTTGCTCCTCTTTATTGAAAAGAAGTGCTCCATTCTATGGATGTACCATAGTCAGTTTACTTAGAAATCCAGTGATGGGCACTGGGTTTTGGAGGTTATGAACAGAGTTGCTGTGGAAACACTCATGTATAGAAATTTGTTTATAAATCTACTTTCATCTATCTAGGACAGACTCCCAGGAGTGGGATTGACAGGCTATACTAGTTTGACTTCCGTTGCTGAGACAAAATACCTGAGAAAAGTCATTTTAAGGGAGAAATGGTTTATTCATCTTATAATTCCAGGTTACAGTCAATCACTGTAGGGAAGTCAAGGCAGAACTTGAAGCAGCTAGTCACATCCAAGTCAAGAGTAGTGATAGAATGAATGCATACATGCCTGCTTGTGTTAGTGCTGTACACTTAACAGTCCAGGAGCCCTTGCCAAGGGAATGGTGCCTCCCACAGTACACTGGTCAATTAAGGTAATCAAGACAATCCCCTACAGACATGCCACAGGCCAACCTGATCTAGAGATAATCCCTCATTGATTCTGGATTGTATCTTGTTGACAATTAAAACTAACCATTACACAAGTCATGTGGTAACTTTATGATTAAACTGCCAAATGGTTCTCCACAGTGACCGTACACCCTGCAATCCTCTGGCACTGTGTGGTAGTACCAGTTACTCTATGACCTCCTCTGTACTGGTACTGTCAATAGTTTTCATTTTAGTCACTCTACATGGGGTATATGTGGCATCTCTTGTTTTAATAGCCATTTTCCCAATGACTAATGATGCTTGACACCTTTTTAAACTCTGACGGCATATGCATATCCTTTAGCAAAATGTCTGTTCATTTTCTTTGCCTATTTGCTAACATTCTGTTCACTGCCTGAATTCATCTAACAATGCAAATCAACAGGTCCATGCCCTAACTAACTCCTGGCTGTCCAGTGTGAGCCTGCTCCTTTTACAGCTTTCTTTCCCACAATGAATGTCCATGACACCTTTCCTTGGCTCAAACCAAGTCTTAGCATCATCCTTGATTGCACTTTTCCAACCTCACGTGGAACTCATATCTGAAACCTTCGATGCCTATCCAGTCAGATTCCCTTCATCCTTACTACATTCTTCCTCAAGGTAAGCTTCTTTTTGGGACAGCAAAAACCCACTCCTTTCACCTCTCTCCAGGTAGTTATGCTCAGCAGCCAGGGTGATCTCTTTATTCTAAATCAATTCAGATCACCCTCTGTTCTGTCCCTCAGAAGGATTCTACCCACACTCAAAGAGAATGTGACTCAGCAGAGTGTAAGTTAATTTCCTGCAATGGCCTACAAAATTCTATAGGATGTACTCTGAGACCTCCATCCTGCATCAGCCTTGACCACTCTCCCAGAACTGCCCTCTGGATACAGTCACTTTGTGTTGTCTTATCACACCAAGTTCTTTACTGTTGCAAGGCCAGGACCCTGTGGTTTTCCACGTCAAAGACATCTAATCCCAACCTGGCTCACTGTGACCATCTCTAGTTATCTTCAGACAACTACAGACCCTGGAAGACCCTTCATCATACAAAAAAATCTACAAGCTAGGGCCTTTTTCACTGTGTTTTGAATGCTTTATGTAAAACATGCAACTCTAGAGTAATCTCTGGTTTTT